AAAAAGGCTTCCACCGGGAGTTATGAGAGAAGTGGCAGAGAAAGCTGCACACTCTCTGTGGTCTGGGAAGGATGCTTTTCAGCAGATAATATCTCACACATTCACGACAACACATTCAAAGCACAGGAAAAACACACATACACAGAATATATATCTATAATGTAGATACCTAAACATATTTAAAGATGCAATAAATACGATAAGAATCTTATCGTCTGTATCCTTTTTTCTCTGGTTTTAGCTGTTTTCAAAGAAACATATTTTTGAAGCATATCAAAAGAACTTCCACCTGGGGATCAACAGACAGTTGAAGCCATATTCTTCGTGATAGCGGTGACTTTGCACCTTAATCCCTTATTTCTTTTTTCCAACCACATCAAGGGAATAGCCATGGAATAAGGTGTTTCCAAATTTGTCCGATTTTTTTGTTCAAGACAGGGGAGATTTCCACCTGGGGATCAACAGACAAATCCAGATAATGTGACATCCCAGTTGGGTCAACTGGACTTTGCCCGATACCCGTTGTTCAACCGTTGTCCCAGCAGGTGACCGGAGTCCAGGTCTTGGGATCGGAGTCCCATTTTTTTCGGACCAGTTGTGTTCCCACCAGTTGTGTTCCCATATATTTTTAATTCACCTTATTGTTTCTAATTCCTTATTGTGTTATTTCCTTATTTCCAGCCTGAATTTTTAAAATCGTTGAAGCACGATTTCCAGATGCCACACCAACAAAGGACAATCTCTTGTTTTGTTATTTCTTGGCACGATCCAATCTTCATTCTCACCACCACTGTTTTGTGATGAAAAAGTGGACCCGAAACTCAATGTGATCAAAATGTATTTCCTTATTTCACTATTCTCCCAACCCTAGAATTATTTTTGGACAATCTGAACCCCTTGCCTGAGGAAAAATTCATCAAACGCACCCTGGAAAAGCTGGGCGGCAAGAACCCCACAAGTTTGGCTACTTCCGTCATGGCACCTTGTCATGCCTTAATGGGTTCCAATGACTTATGACAATGAACTGTTTATTTGAGTTTTAAGAAGGTGGTACATAAGTGAGGACCAAATTAATAGCTGGATTGGATCAGATTGCATGATCACCTCAACAGTGCCGCCCGCCTAAGTTCGTGTACTGGTGCAAAGCGATGGAATTTTTCCGCGGAGTCCAAGTGGTCCACGTGCTCTCGGCATGTGCTAATTGGCTCTGGGCTGGGACTGGGCTGTGTCTCCTCTTTCATTCTTAGCAATCCACTGGGTATTGCAATTTTCCTGTTGGTTGCCGCTCCCAAAAAATGGCCCATTAGCCCCACTAGTCAACTTCCGTTTTTTGGTTGTTCACCCATCCACATACAGTAGGCAGCCATTTTCACAGTGACGACGGACCTCCTACCATCTAAAGGGGTCAATCCCTTTCACCTTGGGAGGACTTAAACCAACAGGAAAATTGTTAAGTGGGTAGGTTTTTCCCAATTGTAAGCTTATTTCCTTATTTCTAAATTGAGCGCAGCTAGACTTTTCAAAAAGTGACTAGCGCTAAATATGCAGGGACGTGCCCAAGACATGAAATTGTTGCCCCATTTGTGGCTAAACCTGCAATCTCTAGCATGGCCAAAACAACCCTTGATCCCAATTTTGTACTGGATCTATTCATTGTGGGGATTCATGCAAACTATATTTACTATTCCTGGGGTGGGATTAGTCCCAATGATTCTTGTTATGAATCTATGAACGCACAGGTCCCACACCATCCCAGGTGTTTACTGACGGCTCATCAGTTGCCAAAAAACCATTGGAACTGACGTGGCTCTATTCCCCTGAGAAGGGCAAAGGCGTCTTTGCACCACCAATTGCAGGGAATCTCAGATCCTGGTTGGTTCAGAGCTTACATGGACGTGGATATCCCTTATTGCAGTCCTTTGAAATAAGTATGAATTAAGGAAATAAGAAGACATCAATGAGTGAGCGCTACCACTCTGTCAAAGTGCTGGATCAATTGACCGCCCCCGCACGATTCCAGGCCCCAGGGGCTCAAGTAAGTTTGGACAGAACAACAGAAATAGAGCAATAGGGAAATAGGGAAATACAGAACCAACACATTTTTGATTGAAACTTCGCATACATAGCACACTTTCAGGCAACCTAGCTATATTTCAATAGTCACTAGGTAATTTTTGTTTTTACATTCATATTATCACTAACACCCAGAATCCCACTGACACTGACGTGCCGCAATGGCGTCAGTTGATGCAGATGATGGCACAATGAGCTATCAAAGCCTCACGGATTCAGAGGCACCTGAGTGGACCAGGTCTTCCACATCTTCAATCCAGGTAGATCCGCTGGAGGAATTTCAGCTTAATTTATGATCAGATACAAAGAATTTTCAACTGCGAAATTTCACGGAATTCAGAAAAAAAAACAGCTTATCCCACAACCATGGGTCATCATTGGGGCATTGACATCAAACCACCATGGGGCATACTGGAGTGGCTGCCCACATGCCAATGCCACGTCCAGCTCAGGACTTGGCTTCGCAATCTATGTTGGTTCGGGCTGCCCGGTTTGCCCAACTATGCTGGAAGGTTCTCATGAAAAAGTTGGGGAAGGATACCTTACAGGACAGAACTGCAGGGTCGGGTCTCTGGTTTCTTGGAAATGCATTTCCCCCGCTACTGGTTATTTCCTTAATTCATGTGAGTTGATGGATGGTTCCAACAATATGTGCTCACATATTCCCAACATAACAATGTTTCTTGGCAACCAAATGCTCCTGAAATATGTCCCCTGCTTTCATTATCGCAATTTGGCAATGGGAGATGTCCCATTGTAGATGCATATTTCCAACTCCAATTGATATCATAAAGGGAAACCATCTACAAAATAAATGCTGATTTCCCATTTTAATTGCCCCAGCACGAAGGTAGCCCTTAAAGACCATTCCCTGAAGACAGGGGTCCGCACGTTGGATGGAGATGGTTCCTGGATCGCGAATGAGTGTTCTTCACAATAATAACAGTTCCTATTTCCTTATTGCCTTAAGTCCTTATTTCCCATGTCGAGGTTGATTGAAATCAAGTAAATGTTGCCATCATGGCAAAAATCTGGGTTTGGCATGAGTCCTGCTATGAACCAAGCTGTGCTATCCTGTCGCGTGACATTTGAAATCCCAAGTAGCTGTTTGGCTAGATTGGTGAAGAGCGGATTTGATTTGTCACGACTTCAGCCATGGACCCTCTGCTTTTCTTAGTCTTGGTGTTTGCAGCTGGGGTCGCTTTCGGCAGCTTGCTGACCATGACAATCATGATGGTGATCCGTGGCAGTGAGAAGCGCAAGTTTGGCAAGTGTGACAGTGAGACCCAGGGAAACTACCTAGGGCCATCAAAAGTGTGGCTATCTAGGGCTGGGAACCATTTTCATGTGAACATCCAGTGTGCCTCACTGAAGTTGGAAGGAGTGCAACGCAGAGGCGTTGCAGAGTTTGAAGTTTGTCAGCACTGCGCAAAAAAGAATGCAGAAACCAGAGGCACAGAGAACAACCATGAAGACTGAGCATGACTGTGGGTTTCCAATTTTTGAATCAGCACAATACTTGCTACGGATGGGTCCGCACAGATTGCAAAAAAAGGAGTTCACATGGGACCCAAGGGACTGAAGGCAGAGCATGTCATCACGGGACCAATACCAACTCCATACCCTTATTTCCCAATTCTCTTATTTCCTTGTTCCTAAGAGAGATGCAAGCACTTATATCCCCAGTCATGCCAGGGTATAGTCATCATGGTCCCAAAAAACAACTATTTCCCGAAATCCACGCAAGCCAAATTGAATTCTTTACTGCTGCTCCCCAACTGTCAAGGGGATTGTCGTTAAATGGTTTATAGAGGGGCATGCAATCCCGTATTTCCCAATTCCAGGGCAGTTGTCAGGGTGAAAATAGTTGTTTTTGTTTTCAAAATGTTGGAATCATTACAATACTTACTACGGATGGGCCCGCGCACATTGCAAATTAAAAATGGATTTCACATGGGGCCTAAGGGGCCTCAGGGGAACAATGCCAATTCCATACCCTTATTTCCCGGTCCCCTTATTTCCTTTTTCCTAGGAGAGATGCAACAACTTATATCCACATTCATGCCAGGGTATAGTCATCATGGTCCCAAAAAGCACCTATTTCCCAAAATCCACGCAAACCCAATTGATTTTTTTACTGTTGCCCCCTGACTCGCAAGGGCGATGTCGTGGAATGCTTTAAATCTTGGTTCTAAGGGGGCATGCAATCCCTTATTTCCCAATTCCGGGCGTGTTGTCGGAGTCACAAGCTCCGTCGTTATTTCCCATATTCCACATGATACCAGTGATTTCCCAAATAAGAATACATTCTTGTTTCCTTCAATGAAAATTCAATTGGAAATGCCATGGATGCCATTTTACCACGACAGAGGGTTGTGCAATCCATTATTTGAATTCTGGAGGTTATATCAGGGGACAAGCACCACCCAATTAATTTCCAAATTATGCAGACCAATATCATGCAAAAGATAGTTGATTACCCCCTGACTCATGCTTACCTAATCTTGGGTTTCTCACCTTTGGGTTTCTCACCGACCTTTGCTTCCAGGACTCCATGCTCTTGCAAGTGAGAACAACTTCTTCGGCCTGCACTGGGTCTTACAGTGGTGAGATGGGGCAAATGCTTATCCAGCACACCATCAATACATCTGGTGATTTGGATCGAGAGGTGGAATTTACCAGTGTTAGAGCACACGATCCTCAGCCCAAAGCGGTGTCCCCATGTCATGTCACGTGTTGGTTGGTTGCAGTTTCACTTTCGATAATCAGATACGGAATATTGTAGCAAGCTAAGTTGGTCAGTATTCCCACATCTCACTGATTCCTTATGTCCTTATTTCCTTATTTCCTGATGTGTGGATTTCACAAGATTCATCTCTGCTTAAGTTGAAGAATTGACTGGAGCATGTTTCAATCTTCCAGCCCAGGAGATCAACCGACATTGTCGGCAGCTCATCAGTGACCACGTCCTTTGGTGTCAGCAAATAGACAAGAGACATCAGGGCCCGTGTGTGCACGGAGACATTACACAGATCATGCCTGCGAACAGTTTTCGCCCCCATGACAATTTTGAGAACAAGATGAAATCCATCAACAAGGCCAAGCTCAAAAAAAGGCAGTTCTGCTTTACGCACAACAGAAAATGCCCCATTTTCGGGGAAGCTGCACGGGAGTCTGATTTTGACCTGAGTGGCTTACCCTGTCCAGACCATTCCAGGGCTGGACATGGACTGGGCCGGGAAGGTCCAACAGCACCAGTGTTTGGGGCGCACGCGAAATACCACGTTGCATGCCAGACCCCCATGCTCCTCATAGAGAATGTTCCGGACAGGGTTCAGCCAAAATTGACACCATGAAATATTTTCTACGCATCAAAATAAGGAAATAAGGGTGGAATAAAGGATTAAGGATTTAGAAACATACGGTTAAAATGGAATATGGCAGCGTTCCCCAGGGTTCTTATTGGGTCACCCCTGGAAAAGTGTTTGAAAACAGTTCCTTGGCTATAAGGTTCCATGGAGGTCTCTGGAAATCATTTTCAAGGGGAAAATGATTTCCAGAGACCTCCATGGAACTTTCTACCCCATGTTGGGTTGAATTCCCACCCCTGCCTTCAACTCTGATTGCGCCAGGATCTGGATAAGGACATGATCGCCAAGCTCTACTCGAAGCACTACACCATTCGCTGCCTCAATGTCAAGCCAGAGCACCAGGGGCATTCCGGGGTGGCCAGGGAGAGGATCTATTTGATCTTAGCTTTGAAGGGCCTTGTGGAGGAAATTGCAAATCCAGAGGTCATCTACAACCAGGTTTCAGACTTTATCATGCAATATGTGAAGACAGAGCCACAGGACTGCTAAATCATATCCATACAGTTTCAATTAATTACAAAGTGTTCACCTGACTAGGGAGGGAAACATTTAGCTTCCCAGAATTTGAATGATTCATATCATGGGTCCCTGCAGGATTACATGGTGTCACATGCTGGGGAATACTACAGAGAAGCCGCCAAAACTGCAAGCACGCGCGGGATTCCCTTGAGACCTGCACCTCGCAAAAAAAGGTATCATTTACGTCGTCATATGCAAATGGGTTTTCTCATCTAACTATTCTTTTTTACAATGGATGGGCTGCCAACTGGAATGGAATCTGGAAGGGCTGCCTATAACAGTATCTTATATCTTATCCCACGCCCAGGTAGCGGCAAATGGAAGGCAGGAAGGGTGGCCCTACTCACCAATTCGGAGATCAAGGAGGGCAACCCCAGAACATGCAGAGAATCAGCCTTATTCAATGGCGTACTTGCTCAATACGCAGCTCAATTATTTGGATTTCAGGGGTGCATTGTTTACAAACCTTTTGGCGTTAGTGAACAATTTCATTTCTACTATTTCTGTATTTCTGTATTTCCTTAATTCTGTAGTTCCTTGGTTTGTTGTGCTCCATCCCACTGCCTAGGTTATGTGAAGTTGTGAATGTTCATGAAGACCTTTCTCATGACACAGCATACTTTCCACATCTGACTGAGCTTTTGATTTTCATAATTCAAGCAAATGTCAATGGTCCAAGATTTGGATTGCTTGGGCTTGCCAAGGCGAGAGCGCGAGGCAGTTCGCTACGCCGGCTCTCTCTATAAGGAGAAGTTCGGGAAAGATCCGACGGAGGATCCCAATTTGTTTCTGAACCTCAGTGATAACCCAAAAACTTTTCTATCCTGGTCAGCAACATCGGGGCGCCTCCCCACTTTTCGAACAAACAGCACCCGCTTTTACAATTTCCAGCGGGAACAGTGGATGACATCACGGGACCGTTTATCTGCATTGGGGCTACCTGTAACTCCAAGCACGGCACTTGCAATGGGCGTGCCCACCCTTCCAGTGCCATGGCGATGTGTTCCATGAACTGAACATGTTGAAAATGGATGAAATTGTCGTTTGGAAACACAGACTGGCCTGGTTTGATCAATTTTGTCCATCAGAGGAATCTTATGTTCCATTCCGGACTTATTCCCCTAGTGTTTCTTCTATGGCTAGCCCAATTTAATTCCTATCTTTTTTCTTCAGAAAGTACAGCCGTAGTTTCTTACAATTTTTTAGTCTGCCGAGGTACAAGATGATGCACGGGCCAGCTCGATATGCGGAAACTCCTTCCACTTCTCGAGCGCGACGGTGGCGCAGATGGTTGCAATGTCCTGCTACAGGATTAAGACTATCTGAGTTGGGAAGGGCTGGAAATTCGGAAACAAAAGTTTCACTTACAAATCTGACTTCAATTTCTGGATTTCAGTTCATGGATACAGTAGAGAATAGTTAATTCAATCTTTTCCTTGACTGAGCAGACTTGTCAAGGGAGTCATGCAGCCGGAGCTTTGTGTAATAGACAGCCAATCACAGCCTCACAATTTAGACAAACAGCGTGTCGGCTTTGAGTGAACGGCTCCTTTTTTCTGTATTCCTGTATTCCAGTATTTCTGTATTCCATTATTTCTGGGTTTTCATTTCAAAGCCAAGCATACAATACATGGTTTTTCTGATTCAGCTCTGGATGAGAAAAACCAGTGATGAGTCATGGCACGTCTGGCTATGACTTTTGATGAATCTTTGGACAAGCCACTCATTCCAACCAATCCGCATTTTTGAGGAAATCAAGCCAAATCGGGACTCTAGGCCAGGTACCTGTTGGGCATCCGCCCAGCCAAGGGTTTGGCCCGAGCGGTTCTGTCCTGGCCCATGCCGCCACGCGGCGGGGGTGAGAAACCCGTCAACAAACCCAAGAAACCAAAGAGCCAGGCCAAAGGCAAGAGTGTGGCTAAAAAGCCAAAGAAGGAGGCCAGTGATTCAGGTGTTTCTGGGGATGAAGGGAATCAAGATCATTCTCATCCCGGCCGTGGTGATGTCCGTGCTGGTGCCAACGAGGACCTTCTTCTGACGTCCACCAATTGACTAAAGCAAGTGTGTTTTTCCCATTGGTTAATGGGGATGCTATTTTTGTGTCAGTATGTCAGGTCAATTTCTCCGTGGGTTACTGTACCTACTTCATGTCTATTTATTGATGGGGTCATCAGCACTCTTGAATTGGACACCCATGTTGGTCAATGACGGAAATTCTGGTTCAGCAAAGGTGGAAAATGATGTTCCCTAAATTACATGGAATGGGGTCCTGTGTGGGAAATTTTGAGCAGTTATTGATGGGTTTCTAGGCCACCTGGTAGTTTCACCACCCCAGTCCTTGACCTTTGAAACAAGTTTGATTGCCCAGGATGCGTCGAGTGACAGCGAGGCCGTGTCGCCTGAGGACAAGATGCTTGATAGTGAAGAGGAATGTGCGTCATCTGATTCAAACATGTGTCTGGGATTTGATGTGGTTTCAGCTGGGAGATTTGACATTTTTCCTTTATTTCCCCTTTATTGGGCGGGTTGCCAAATTCAGCACAACACCGTGGGGAGCGGAAAGCATGCAATGATTTTCCTATTTCCTTAATTCCTTAATTCCTTATGTCCTTACTTCCTGCTTTCTAGGTGTCAGGATGTGTGGGATTGGAAAGTACAACTGAGCTTTAGAATGATTTTGGAACAAACTAGTAAACCAAGACAGAATTCACTCCATTCATGGCAATTGCATTGCCAATCAACAAACCACAGGTTGACAACCTGATACCGTAAACCCTTGGATTTCCATACGCCTGGCTGGTTGAGGTTCATGGGTGGGGTCTACGGCCCAAAGGTTACCAGAGGGGCCAAGGGTCCCACCAAAGCAGAGAGCATCACTGCAAGCAGACAAAGCCGGAAAACCGAGTACAAGTCCCAGGTTCAGCTTCGAGATTTTGTTGTTTCTGGGCTCAACCTGCTGGGTAGCGGGAGCTGGCACCAAGCCTGCACTGTGTCATCCCTAAAGCAAGAATCATAGGCCTTTCCAATTTCCAAAGTTCCAGGGTTCCTCTCCGGGGATTTGATTTTAAATACACACGAAGAGTTGAATAAGAACCGAATACGACTTGTCCAGCGTACCTTGGGGCTCTTCAGTGCTCTATTGAGCAAAAATATGGAGATTTCGAACGAGGATACCCTCAAGTTCTTAAGGGGTTAGCTAGTTCTTAATCAGATTCGGCCCGGAAACCACCACACTTCAAAACATTTAAAATAACAAAACGTAGCCACAGAAAGTCTATTCCCTTATTTCGTTATTTCTTGCCATTGATGTCATGGGGAAAAGGGTTGGTCAGTCTTTGCGCGGGGCTCATGCTATCCATGCTGCATCCAAGGAGCCCACCAATGAATTGTTGGTGAAGCATCTCCACTCATTCCTGGGCTCGCCAGTGTGGTCATATTGTCTTTTCTGACAAGCCATAATTTCATTCTAGAATCTCTAACTTTACCTGGCCTCGCCAGTGTGGTAATATTGTCTTTTCTGACAAGCTTAAATTTAATTTCTACGAGCTCTTGTGTGAACGTCTGTTTTACCGGGTTCCTGTGACCATTCTCTGCGTTCTGAGGACTCGCATTTGCTTTCGTGGTTGCACGGCGTTGATCCAGTTTGGCTGAACAAGGAGAAGTTTACGGGGTCAAGCAGAACGGCTATCTTTTCAGCCATGCTTTTCAACTTCGGGCTCCTCCCTGAGGACGGAAAGCCGGGGTGTCTGGGTTCAATCTTGGGAACATAATTCTAGTACATTCAGAATTATTGGTTCAAAAATCAAACTGCCTTTCAGTCTGAAAGCAACTTAGAACCATCATTTCTTGCATTATTTGTTTAAATCTGTTGTATTGTTTGCACTTTGTGTCAAAAAACACATGCCTGCCTATACAGACTGCGAAACAAAGTGGCAAATGTACAGCAATCATGTGAATGACCTTATTTCCTTAATTCCCTATTTCCTTGTATCAGAATTGGAATGAACCCTGTGCCAGTAACCCTGAATCCTACTCACAAAAAAATTGCTCGCTTAGGAAAGATTTGGGTGAATGTATTGAGAATTGTGGTAGCCGCTACGCAACTCGCGGCAAACCAGCTGCTTCGACAGCTTGGTCACCACGACAGATGCATTGGTATTGCAAATGGCAATTGAAATCAAAACTCAGAAAGAGTCAGTTAGGGGGTTTTGGCTGGCAGTTGCCAGAAAAAAAGCGAACTGGTCAACCGGCAGAAATGCCCCCAGAAGTCCAAGACTTCATTGAATCCGAGAAATTGGAAGCTAACCTTATTTGATTTTTCTGTTTTTATTTCCCATCACAAAACGTTGAAAGCATCAGAACAGTGTAAAGATGTTGGACCTATCCATAACGCAAGGGTGTAGTTTTTAACCACACGCAGACCTGCAAGCCTCCAATCTCAACATCTGAGGAACGTCGATCAAAATCAAGGTCACCCGCTGCTAAAAGCATGAGAAGCGAGAAGAGGGGCAGAAGCCCAAAGAGAAAAGGTGCAAGGTCCAGGAGTCGGAGTCGGGGACCACTCCGAAGACAGCCTACCCCTAGACAATTGAAGGACAGGGTGCTTGTCATTTGCATGCCATGGGAAGCCCCAACCTGGTAATAACCCTCGTAATTGAACTGTCTTCCCCTTGTATTAGACATCGTCTTCATGATTATGCAGCATTTGGGGCGACTTTCAGAAGAGTGGTGCAATTTCCTTATTTCCTTATTTCCTTAGTGCCTTATTTCAATACACCGATCCAGCCCCGCACCAGAGATTTCAGGACAAGAATCAAGGCACCAATGCCAAGGAGGTGAAGACGAAGACACCAGCGAGATCAGCGGGGGCACCTGAAGCCCATGGCTCAAAGTACTTCAAAGGCATGGCTCCGGGACAGAAACGGCGAGATGACGTGAAAAAAACATCTGAAAGTGAAACTTGGGTCTATGAATTACAATGGGGCACAACAGAAAAGTAGGTGATACAATGTTGGTGATCTAATCAAAATTAGTGTAAATGACAGGATCCTAGTTTTAACTAAACGATTTTTCTTTGAATTTATGGGGGTTTCAATTGTTTGGGGTTCCACACCGTTCTTAAAAAACAAGTTTTCGTGAACCTGTGATTTTTTCAAAAATCATTGGATCACGAAAAAGGGTTTGAACCCCCAGTAATTTATCAATGGGTCCTACCATTACCATCACATGCGGGCTTTTATAGCAGTCAGCTTAGAGTCTAGTTATTCTTGACCTCAAGCTTGTTTAGAGCTTCATTATTTCCTTATTTCTCTATATCTCAATTTCTACCATCCTGTGATGATAGCTTCCCAGATCAAGGCTGTGGCCTCGTTTGGACGTAAGGACTCCCCTGGTGCCTTCTCATTCTCCGACCTGCTGGTTGCCGATGATGAAGAGGACGGTGGGAAATCCGACCCGGAACCTTTCATTCAGCAGATCGACACCCCGGTGGGTGAAATGGACAGGTTCATTTTGTTTGACCCTGTGTCAAAATCAAAGCTTCATCTTCCAGGCCTACGTGATGACCAATGGATCATCAAAAAAGATGAAAATAAGGGCACATGGCAGGTGTGTTCTTCCAGGGGCCGGCATAATCCTGTGAGACTTGAGAAAATCTTGAAGCACAAGAATGTTGAGCGTTGGTGTCTAGCCTCAACTCACCTAGCAGTTGCCATTTTTCTTGGGCTGGGCAGGGCTGTTCCAAAAAACTGTTGGAACGATACATCATAGATCAAACGCATCCAAGTTTGTTGAACTTACAGCCATTTGTCCTTATTTCTTTGGTGAGCCTGTCTGTAAAACCAACATAGACTCATAGCTAGATTCCAAATCAAGTTTATCATTTTTTATTGGATTTCCAACCTTCGCCTTGCCCTTTTCATCGCTGGGGTGGGCCCCTTCTAAAAACTGTTTGAAATCTAGCATTTAGATTCCAAACTGAAGTTCGTGGGTTCAACTTCCACCCGTTAACGCACTTGTTTTTGCAACCCCTTATTTCCTTATTTCTGGCTTGTGATTTTCAGGGGCTGAAAATATGAGACGCTCTCAGACAAAGATCCCTATTTCTCTATTTCCCTATTTCCCTATTACCTCCCTTCTGGGATGACCCATCCAAGACTGTCAGGAAAATAGTCCTAAGGCGTCAAAAAAAAACACAAGTGGGGGGATGGATACAAAGCCCATATTGTTATAGAAATCCGGGTTTCGCTCAGGTCACCGGGGCCAGAGCGGCCTAGAGAAAGCAAAACGCCGCAGTCCAAGGGGTCTCACAAGGAGAGGGCAGGCAG